AGCTGCTGTATTCAGGACAAGATTCAAGGCAGACCTTTGGAGTTCTGAGTGATGGAAGGCACATCACTGAGCTTTCTGTAAGTTAAACTTGGGACCTCAGGAGCTGTACTTCAATGAGTAAAATACCTATGGTGTTTGAATCTTTCTTGTTTCCAGTATTCTAGCTGATGGCATATAGAGAAAGGATTGGTGTGCTAGGTATAAAAAGCCCTATTTGTTCTCTGCTAACAAGTTGTGTAGCGCTGTGTAAGTCATGGTGAATCAGAATTGAACTAAGTGATCTTCAAAGTCATTCAAAGGTCTAAAATCCTGTGATTCGAAATAAAATGTCCTCATCAAGATTAGCAAATTGACCATGTTGTAATTTTATGTCTGTACCCAGGATAACCCTGCACACAGATGGATGGTCGTGTAATGGCAATAAGAAATTAATATTAAAACGTTTAGGTGTCCAATTTATCCAATTTGTTGAAATAAATAATATGTGTATTATATGTATATATACACTAAGAATTTTTACTATATATATATATATGTATACACACACACACACACACACTAAGAATTTTTGTTTTCCTTAGGCAACACAATATATTTGGCTGAAAATGTTACAATTTTATAATTTCCAAAGAATTAAAATCAAATCTTTAGTATTTTTTAAACATATTACAACTTAATAAAGAGTGGAGCACTAAAAAATTTCATCTAGAGCTCTTCATGATGACACTTACTACAAGTAGAGCATGAGAATTCCTTGAAGGTGGAATTCAGGTCTTATTCCTCTTTCTGCTCTTGAAATGCTTTACAGGTAGTCTACTTTAAATAACTGTTTCTTTGAATGAACAAAAAGAAAAAAAAAGAAACACAGAGACATACTTCAACTCTATGGAGGGGAAGCAGCTGTGTAAGCTGCTCATACCGTCTGAAAATCCAAAGATTTCTTTGCCTTCAGTGACAGGGAAAATGGAAGGTGGAGGAGTAGAGACGACGGGGAGCTTAGTGTTTGATACTGTGTGTTCGTATTTTGCAATGTAATTCAGTGATTCTTGAGAAGTATTTGAGTGTAAGCGATGTCTTCTTCAGCACAAAACATAGCATTTGTGGCAACTAGGCCAGGGAATCCGTAGTTCCCTGAATCGATAACTGGTTAGAAAACGAACACCTCTGGTTTTAACTTTAAAGAGTCTGTATAGCAATGATATTTTATCAGAATCATTCACTACATTACTTATTCAGATATCAGATTAAAAGCAGGCAGGGCACAGTGGCTCATGCCTGTAATCCCAGCATTTTGGGAGGCTGAGGCCGGTAGATCACTTGAGGTCAGGAGTTTGAGACCAGCCTGGCCAGTATGGTGAAACCCTGTCTCTACCAAAAAATACAAAAATTAGCCAGGCGCAGTGGCACATCCCTGTAATCCCTGCTACTCAGGAAGCTGAGGCACAAGAATGTCTTGAACCCAGGAGACGGAGGTTGCAGTGAGCTGAGATCATACCACTGCATTCCAGCCTGGGCAACAGAGCAAGACCCTGTCTCCAAAAAAAAAAAAAAAAAAATGGTTAGGCCGGGCATGGTGGCTCATGCCTGTAATCCCACCACTTTGGGAGGCCAAGGCAGGTGAATCACAAGGTCGGAAGATTGAGCCCATCCTGGCTAACACAGAGAAACTCCATCTCTGCTAAAAATATAAAAAAGTATCCAGGCGTGGTAGCAAGCACCTGTAGTCCCAGCTACTCAGAAGGCGGAGGTAGGAGAATCGCTTGAACCTGAGTAAGCTGAGATCACACCACTGCGCTCTAGCCTGGGTGACAGAGCAAGACTCTGTCTAAAAAGAAAAAGATAAAAAGCGATTATTTGTAGCACTGAGATTCAAGCAGTACACACCAGTACAGTGTTGTCAGTTTTTAAATTTTGAAAGATTCCCACACACTCAGTGAGCAGTCACTGCTCTGAGCCATACTCCCAGGCCCTCTTCTGGAACCTCTGGTACTCCCCGACCCAGCAACCAAAGGCAAGATGCCTGGCACCCTGCCCCATCAGGCCTGGCAGACGCTGATCATTTAGGCCTATGCTAGACCAATTGTTACAACCTTTCGATGATGACCTCTGTTTGTGTGGGCTTCTTTACATATTTAGAAAATTATTTCGTATCTTTATGTCCATTAATCCTGGGCTTATGAGTTTTTACTAAATGTAATGAAGGTGGATAACTTTTTGCCTAAGATACATATAGGTTCTTTGGGTGTATTTCCAAATCTAGAATGGTTTATACAAATGACATTTATCCGGTGACAATGAAATACCAAAGGCTTCAGTTTTGCTTTCTATTTTCCCCAAATAATATGTTTAAAAAAAAAAAAAAAAAAGGTTGCTGCCAGAGCTGAAAGTGATTCATTCTCCTCCTTATGATAAAGTCTATATTTCACATAAGGAAATATCTCTGTTCTGTTCTTCCCCAGCCCTGTGTAGCCATTCACATTCCTTTGCTGAGCTGTACAAGTAATTCTGATGATGCTAGCATTTATTATTTCCTAGTTACTCCGTCTAAGCTGATCTGTAAAATGTGTTAGTTACATTTTAGACATCTTCAAGGGCCACCAACTTGATTAACTGACATTAATGTCACTGTATTTTTCTCAGTATCCATTGGTAGCAAGCATCCTTTTTAGATGAACAGAAAAATGTGGCGTGGTAAACTGAGCAGCCTTTCTGTCCCACAGTTCTCAAATGCGTGCCCTATATTGATAGTGTGAGCTGGAAACTCAGCAGCCATGAGAAACCGGAAGCCTAAGCTGTGATCGGCCGAGGGACGAGTCTGCTCCTGCCTGTGTCCTTTCTCTGTCCAGTTGAAGCTATTAAAGTAGCAGAAAGAATGTGAGGGGATCAGGAAAGCAAACGCAAATGTGAATCAAGGAGAAGAAGGGCTTGCCTGTGAGGAGTTTGAAGACGGTCTTGCGAACTCTCCCATCAGTTGACCTGCCAGCAGTGAGCCGCCTTCTCCTCTAGTTCCTCTCTTGGCGCCTGGCTGTTGGTGGCAGAGGCAGCAGGCCCTGCTCTGTGCCAGGTCCTTGACCTCTGTAGACCGACAGCCAGACTTGACTTTCTCCTCTCCCTCAGCTGACCAGATTTCAACATTTCAGTTGGTCCCATGCCTGGTTTCATGAAGGCACTGGCACTTCATCAGATGGCCCCAACCAGGCCCTGTCTCTGTGTTTGGGGACAGAGAGCAGACACAAGTCTCAGACTGTAAGAGGCAGGCTGGCCTGACATCGGGGCCATCAGCATCCAGCCCAGTGCAGGAAGGAGGCCTTTCATCTTTAGGCTCAGACAACTGGTTTGGGTCCTTTTAATAAGTACTTCCTTCTGCACCGAAATATGAAATAATAATACCTTAGCCGCACAGCATAACCATGTGCCAAGACTGTAGAAACGCCTCTCACAGATAATGCAGAGGAACTGTCCTTAAACCCTGGGGAAGGAAGGAAAGTCCTGAAACCCTTTTCCTGAAGAACTTGCTGGTCCTCCAAGGCAGCTGCAGAGCAGGAGGATCCAGAGAAGCCACTGAAGAGGTCTTGGGTTCAAATCTTGACCCCGTCGCTTACCAAAAGCCACGTAAACTCTCTGCACCTCTCCTCTCTTGCCTGTGAGGTCAGGTGGTGCAGCATACAGATGTGAGGATGACATGAGGGCCTCACTGCATGCCTGGCACTCGGGAAGCTTTCAGTAAATAGCATCATTTTAAGAACTGAACAGGAGGCCTGAGCAAGGCTCCGGTCCATGTGCACGTATTTTGGAATGTATTCAGTCTCTCTACGTTGAAGTTTTCTCCACAAAGCTCAAAAGTATGTAGTCATCAGTTTCCTGCCGCTTCCTATTGCACAAACCATTTCCTGTTCCCAGGACTGCTGACACTAGGAAGTAAAGAGACAAACAGACTGATGAAAAGGAGCCTCAGTCCTGGGCTGGCTTGATTGTCTGCAGCAACAACACTTGCTCTAAAGCTGGCCAGGGGTCACCACAACCTCCAGGACCCAGTGTTGAAAGCCAGTGTGTCATTGTGGGACCAAGTGGAAAAGGAGGGGCTGCCTCCCCCTGTCCCTACCCTAGAAGCAATGGACCTGGCAAGAAGGAAAGTTAGCGGAGGGAGCCTTGGCAATCCCATCTTCTAGAAGGTCCAGGAGCTCACCATGTCGATTAGATTCCATGATGATATTCTAGCACTGAGAGTTGGGGCTGACCCAGGGTTTAAAGTGTGATGTTCAAGAACTGTTGGGCTGCATTACACCAGCTCGAGGGCTTCCTCCAGCCCCTGCCCTGAGGTGACCACAGCTGCAAATGCAGGAGCGTGAAGGAGCCGGAAGGGGGTGTGCCCCGCCTGCCCACTCAGCAGACCTGCTTTTGGCTTATTTCACTAGACACTTGGAAAGCAAGAGCAACAAGCTTTAATCAGATACCATGGAAAAACACAGCCCTTGTTTTGAAGAACTTAAAATCTGAAAGTGCAGAGAAAAACCTACGTGCTTCACGAGTGGATTCTGCAAGCTGATGTTACTAGACCACACAGGAAGCAGCAAGACAGCAGCGGCTCCTTCGGCCTTCCCTGCCCCTGCCTTGAAATGAGCTTCATCTCTCCTGGTGACGCCCTAGAAATTTTCCTTCAACAAGACTAGGTCTCTAACATTATGACTTCTGTACCTGCTAATCTGTCACTACCTCCCAGCCCCTGGGCCACACCTCTAGCCTCCAGGGAACTTACCGACACAGTCAGGACTTTCTCTCAGTGGTTTTCAAGGTATCAACATGGCTTTCAGAGCATCACCTCCAAATGAAGGCCAGGACACACACAATTAAATCAAGGTAGTTGAAAGGAAAAAAGGAACTTTCAAATAAACATTTTTGAGATTCAGTTATGAGTCTTACTGCACTGCGAATCATATAACCCATTGTAATATTAATCTTGAACAAAATTTCTATTTGCATCATGTGTTTTCTTGCTCACCAGGAGGGCCACATGTTACCAATAGACACCTGGGGACATGATTCAGTCTGAACTATAATTGAATCCCTGACATTATAAGGAACTTGGTAAGAATTTTCCTCTTGAAATCTATTTTTATGAAAGCGACTTATTGTATACCTCGTATGTAATAATAATGCACTAAGGGTAATGCCAGAGACCACAGCAAAAACCTAGATGATCTGTTTTGACACCAGGTTTCTCCAAAGCAAGATCACCATCACCCTAATTGAGCTGCCAATCACTTAGTGAGCCACACAAATCTGAATTCAACACAAAGCGTTGCCTCTTCCCGCTTCCCCCGCCTCAAGCCTCAAGCTCGGCAGCTCCCGCCTCGGCCCCCTCCCATCCTCTCTGTCCTCATCGTGGTCTGCAGGTCTTCTCCCATCCTCCCCACAGCCTCTCTATGCAGAATTTCCAAGGGGCCCTGAGTTACACTAACCTTGAAACTTGCTGGTGTAATGTGATAGAATTTCTTATTTAAAATATAACATGTGCATATGAGCACAATATGAACACCCCATAGCCTTGTTCCTAATGTCTCCCATCCAACTTCCTGGATGTAAGACTTGCCTAGCATCTTAATACAGCTTTCTAAAAACTTGCTAACATATTAGCTGGATACAGTGACTCACGCTTGTAATCAGAGCATTTTGGGAGGCCAAGGCAGGCAGATCACCCGAGATCAGGAGTTCGAGACCAGCCTGGCCAACATGGCAAAACCCCATCTCCACTCCAAATACAAAAATTAGCTGGGCATGGATGGCAGGCGCCTATAATCCCAGCTACTTGGGAAGCTGAGACAGGAGAATCGTTTGCACCCAGGAAGTAGAGGCTGCAGTGAGCCAAGATCATGCCCCTGCACTCCAGCCTGGGCAACAGAGCAAAGTCTTATCTCAAAAAAAAAAAAAAAAAAAAAAAAATTGCTAACATATCATTTCTCATTGTTATTTACCCTTCATTTGACATTGTATTCCATAGTTTCAACTTTGTCTTGACAGCATTCATTCAAGCAAAGCAGCGGGGTTTGCATGAAGAAAAGAGAGCAAAGGAAACAATTTCAAAAAAGCAAATTTTCCTCCCTTCCCCCCCCACAAAATTCTCCTTCACAGGAAAGTGACCCTAAAAGCAGTTTTGTTTTTTGAAACAGTTTTCTACACACACACACACACACACACCCCTTGTGTCCCGGCCCGCGCACCACGTCTCGCCTGCTGGCTCAGGGCCCGGCTTCTTTCCCCCCACACCGTGTCAGGCAGGTCCCGCCCTCCTTTATGTCCTCATGTTCGTGCCGGTGCCAGGCAGCTTCCGATTCTGTGCCCCATTTGAAATCATTCACAAAATCTCAATTGTTGAAGAAAAGACCCTGGCTTCTAAGTAATGCTAACCACCGTAAAATATTAGAAAACATTTCAAAGTAAGAGGGTCCTTGGAGCTGTCATTTATTTTTCACGGGAATTGAATTACCTGAATTACCAGTCAACATCACAAAGCTAAAAAACTTTGTCAGCCGGGCGCGGTGGCTCAAGCCTGTAATCCCAGCACTTTGGGAGGCTGAGGCGGGTGGATCACGAGGTCAAAAGATCGAGACCATCCTGGTCAACATGGTTGAAAACCCGTCTCTACTAAAAATACAAAAAAAAATTAGCTGGGCATGGTGGCGCGTGCCTGTAATCCCAGCTACTCAGGAGGCTGAGGCAGGAGAATTGCCTGAAACCGGGAGGCGGAGGTTGCGGTGAGCCGAGATCGCGCCATTGCACTCCAGCCTGGGTCACAAGAGCGAAACTCCGTCTCAAAAAAAAAAAAAAAAAAAAACTTTGTCATTCACTGTATCTTTTCTCCCTTTAAGAATGAAAAGGATGCCCCAGAGCTGAGGAGAAAATCTTCCTACAAAGCAAACCTCACAACCTCACAGCGTATTCTACCTGGGCCTGACCCACACAGTAACCAGAAGCTTCCTGGGCCCAGCAGTTTCAACCAAGTATTTCAGGAACCCGGGCTCACCCTTGGCAGTGACAAGCCTCGGGAAATTTCAGTCATCAAGTGTCTCTGATCCCCAGATTCTTACAAGGGAACTTTGCAAAGCTTGTAGTCTCTCCTTCCTAATTTAATTTAAACTGCACTTGTGATAAAGAGGTAAGTGTGCGGCTTCTCCCTAATGCTACCACGAATTTCTATGTGACACGGATCCTCTTGGGGCTGAGTGAAGTGCGGGAAGTCTAAAAAGAACTGTGTCCATCCTCTGTGTCCCAGGGCTTCTCCAGGGAGCTGCCATCCACTCAGCCCCTCCCACCCGTCCTCTTTTCTCGTCGGCCAGCCCCCAGCATGGAGGTGCCTACTGCCCCCACAGTGTCTCTGCCAGACTCTTCCAGGGCTCAGTGCAGAGCCAGGCACAGCTTCCCCAACCTCTCCTCGTCCCTGCTGCCTCCAAAACAAACACAAATTAGAAAAAGGACAAAGGAGTTTTGGTTATAGGAAGGTCAGAGAGTTTTAAAAATTACCAGCATTGGGAAAATTACAAGGTTGCTAAAGAATCTGAAAAAACTATCAGCAGCAGTTCCCAGAGCCTGACCTCGTTTATGTTTCAATGGAGACCTGGGTCAACTGCTCTGAATATTTCCCAAGCATTCTTACTAATCTTTTGTGTAGTTAGAAGTCAGTCTTGCGGGCACCTTCTCTGTTACCAAGCTGTGCCTAGCTCTTAGGTCCAGGCCCAATCTCTGACCCTTTAACAGAGAAGCCACTTCTCCTTCTCCCCTACAAAGGCCTCTCCCTTGGGCTTTAGTCTACTTGCTTTGACCTTCAGTTTGCCACCACGATCTATCATGGAGGCCTCTTGGTTGAGGTCTTGGGGATCTGCCCTCCAGCCCCTCCCCATCTGACTTCCCCTCTAGGCCACTGTTCCCTTGCAGTTGTCTTCCGTGTTCCTCCCAGATAGCTCTGTGCCTCTGGCGTAGAGCACGGTGCGGGTCTCTGTTGTTGAATTAAAATTGTCCCACTGAGGCAATACAACACAATAAGGGAAAGCTGTGTCTCGGCTGGGTGCCACCGGGCAGGCAGCTTGAGCTCAACAGTCCTCAGTTTTCTCTGCTGCAAAATGGGAATCCTAATTGTGACAGGGAATTAAAAATTGGGACCACAATTCACTCTGCCAAAAGAAAAATTAAGCTGACAGCTGAGTCATGCAAGATGCAGCCTTTCCCTTTGTTTCTAAGCAGAGACCTACAGATAAAAGGTGAAACATCTCCACAGGTAGCTTCTCTGTGTTCACCTTATGTTACGTAAATTGCCAATTTACCGAGCATGATTTACTGAGTGGGAGAGGAATACATAACGACTATTCCCCTACCTGTTCCTTTTCTCTTTTCGCCTTTAAATGCTGAAGCCCTCAAAATCAGCACTGGAGAAAGGCACAGACCACAGATTGTTTCTGTGATTCCATGTTTATTTCTCTGGGCATGTCCTTAACCTTGGCAAAATCAACTTCTAAATTGATTGAGACCTGTCTCCAAAACTTTTTGGTTTACATAATAATGCCCACTTTATCATACTATTGTGAGGCTGAAATTGGGCAATGCTAAGACCTTAACCTATATCTGGGTACAGTGACTGCTCAATACACACTGGTTCACATGATAATTCTTATTAACATCCTTTTTTTTAAATCAAACTGCTCACTGATTTTTATTCTTTCTTTAAAAAAGAAATAGACGCCAAGCACGGTGTCTCACGCCTGTAATCCCAGCACTTTGGGAGGCCGAGGCGGGTGGATCACGAGGTCAAGAGATCGAGACCATCCTGGTCAACATGGTGAAACCCCGTCTCTACTAAAAACACAAAAAAATTAGCTGGGCATGGTGGCGTGGGCCTGTAATCCCAGCTACTCAGGAGGTTGAGGCAGGAGAATTGCCTGAAGCCAGGAGGTGGAGGTTGCGGTGAGCCGAGATCCCGTCACTGCACTCCAGCCTGGGTAACAAGAGCAAAACTCCGTCTCAAAAAAAAAAGAGAAAGAAAGAAATAGACTACCTTTAGACTGCCTCCTTTCGTCTTGCACAATGTGAGGCACTGGGGGTACAACGGGAAGTAAATGTCTCTGCCTTCAAAAGGAATTCTGCAGAGTGGGAAAGAGGACAAGTGCCAAAAATCACAGAGCAGTGAGCTCAGTCTGCAATGGGAATATTCCTGGGCTCCTGCAGGAATGTTGGATGAGAAGCAACTAACTTCGCCTGAGGACAAGAACAGGGAGAGGTGGCGCAGACAAGACTGCTAGAGGAGCTGACAAGTCAGACTGGAAGCGACCGGAAGGGAACTGCACAGGGGAAGGAGGGAAGAAGGGCCTGCCTGAGACCGCGGGTGCAGTCTGCGCTGACGGCTGGCCCTGCCCCCGAGGCCCTGGGCTGGGTCAACAGGTGTTCGAATTTAATCTGTGGATCCAGTCTCCTTAGGAGTCATGCAGACTCAGTAGAGAAAAGCATTCTAGAGCGTGCTTCTGTGAACGTCCATCTCTCCGCCTCAAAGCTCTACCTCCAGATGAAACTTCCTTCGCTGCGCTGGGCTTTACCTGAGGAACATAATAATCACGTGACTCGCACTGTCTGTTTTCCACATGCCCGGCACAATCGGGGCCTTTCCAGCATCATCTCATGCCATCCTCTCGAAAGCAACCCTGTGTGGCCATCTCGTCCCGTGCCAAATTTCTACGTTCTCCAGACAGTTTCTACGTTGGCCCTTGGGCAAGTAACCTCACTGTGCCTCTGTTTCTTCATCTTCCAGAAAGGATGCCCATCCCACCCCACAGGTTGACAAGGGGGCGATGGGAGTTAATGTACGCAGAGCCCTTAAAACAGTCACCAGCACATAGTAAGACCTCAGTAACTGCTATTCCTGTGCCACTGCATGTGCCTCTAGGGCTTTTTTTGTTTTGTTTTGCTTGCTTGTTTTTGAGATGGAGTCTTGCTCTGTGACCCAGGCTCGAGTGCAGTGGCACGGTCTTGGCTTACTGCAACCTCTGCCTCCCGGGTTCAAGCAATACTGCCCCAGGCCTCCCAAGTGGCTAGGATTACAGGCACCCGCCACCACGCCCACCTAATTTTTGTACTTGCAGTAGAGACGGGTTTCACCATATTGATCGAGCTGGTCTCAAACTCCTGATCTCAGGTCATCCACCCACCTCAGCCTCCCAAAGTGTAGGATGACAGGCATGAGCCACCACACCTGGCCTGGTGCCTCTTGGTTTTTGACCCATTTCCAGAGTAGTAGGAAGAGGAAACTATTGATAGCAGCTCGAAATTGGTTTTCTCTTGCTCTTGGGCACATAACTAATTTCCATTTCCCACCTCCCATATGGCCCTGTGCCTGAGTGCCAGCCCATAGAACAGGAGCGGTGCTCCTTCCAGCCTGGCTTGCAAAGCTGGCCCCTGCCTTCACTATCAGCTGTCTCATTCAGGCCACAGGGAAAGGAGCAGTGTTGAAGATGTGAGTCCCACAATGAGGGCATGGAGGTCATTCTTCAGGCCTGTCCCCTGCACAGTTTCGTTGCCTAAATAAGAAACAAGGCTTCACATGCTTGGCGAGCAGCTGGCCAGCTTTTACTAACACATGTGTGTCCAGAGCTCAGGGAAGGGCCAGCCTTATGGGAGATACAGCTGTGGTCTGCCCAGCAGGTTCCACTTCCTCCTCCCGGTAAGAAACTCCCTCTCTTGTGGGAGAATCTACAACATGATTTGCTGTGGCTTCATTTCTGCACCACAGAATCAGCAGGCAGTGCACACACAGCCGAGGCGCCAAGCCCTTGGTCCATCATCAGTTCTGGGATCAATTATTGTGGTCTAATCAATTATTGCTGAAGCGTTCAGGAGAAGGGGATCTCTACTTTTGGGTGATACTACTGGCTTTAGAGGATGCAGATATTCTAGGGATCCTAGTGGCCATGACAAGTGATTGCCAAAGAAAGAGGCCAACACAGGGGAAGCAGAGCCCATGTGGAAGAACACTTCCTTAGGGCATCGTTTCAACTCCAGCATCCATTAACCTTTGATTCACTGTCCTCCTACCTGGGTAATAAGCCTCCTTTGTGATTCAGCTGATTAAAGCCAGTTTCCCCAGTACTTCCCAACTTACCAGCTTTGCCCATTACCTCCAGTTCCCTGGGCCTCAGCTACAGACCCTCTAACACCTGCCTTGAGAGCTATGTTAACAATCTTTTCTTCACATTACGTAAAATACTAAAATTCCTTAAATAATCAGTGTCTGTAACAGGAACTTCCACTGAGGGGAGAATAGTGTTAGTCACATGTGGTCTTGACAGATAATACTCCTTCTTAGGAAGGGAGCCTTGATATATATATGCACTAGAAAAAACAAGGTCCCATTAGCACAAACTCAGTAGAACTATCCCCTGCCCCTTGTTTTTCATTGTGCTGAACTTCTGTCCTATTAAAGATTTTTAAAAATAAATGGTGAATTTGGGGAGTTTGGAAATCGTCACATATTTCCTTCACAATGTGTTTCCTTGTACTAGAATGTAATTAATGATACTTTTATCTGTTTTTCATTTAAGCCACATAGTTGTAACCCCAGAGATTTACAAAATCAGAAGTATACATTAATATTTACCATTAGTTGTACACACCATCCTCCCAGCCTTTGCTTTAGTCCTTGGATTAAATACAGGCTAGCCGCAAATATCTGATGGGACAGTTCTGTAAAGTGTGTTTTCCACTTGTGTCTCAAACACTAGAATACCAGGCTTGTATTTTTAAATTTTATTTTGGATTTTATTTCGAAATTCTTACTTGTGTAAACCAATCCTTTATCAAAATAGGGAATTTTCCAAAGCTGCTTAACTCGTCACTCTCCTCTTCTTTCATTGTGGTGACAACCAGCCTGGCCACTTGACGTTCAGGTTTTCTTTCTTCATATTCATTTTCAGGCTTTGAGTTCATTAACTCAGTGAAACCATACTAAGGAAAAAAGATTTTTCTACCCTCCTCTCATCTGTTGAACTTTGGCTTCCTTCACTCTCCCTTGCCCTGCACACCCCAGCTCCTCCGAAATAAAATGTCGGGAGACTGACCCCGTGAAGAGTCTGTAAGAAGGGAGTTCTGATCAATCTCGTTCATGCTGGGGGGAGGAGAGCGCTAGCAGTGCTTGTTTGAAGTATACAGACTTTCTGCTGTGGATAATGTCAAAGTTCTGGAAATCATTGGTGATGATTACACAACATTGCGTTGTAGTTAATGCCAATAAATTTTACACTTTAAAATGGTCAAATGGTAATTTTTAAGTATATTTTGTCATTATGAAAAAAAAAATCTTCATGCTTCCTGTCTTGTGTATTTGTATAAATTACTAAATATGCTTGCATCACTCATATGGATAGCAGTAGCTAAGAAGCCTGAAGAAGTCCGTCAAATAGAACAGGCGAAGAAATTGTGTTCCTTAAAAAAGTGCCCGACAGAACAAAGCACACACATCCTTTGTCAACTGTCTTTGGGAAACCGGCTCTGTTCGCTCATGCGCAGAAGGAAGCCGGGCGGCCAGGATGTCAACAGGGGCAAGATGAATGACCCCCTGGAGGCCGCAGGGTTTGTGTTCGAGTTTCCACCAGCTTTTCATCCTTTTGTCTCGCTCTTGATTCACATGCAGATTAGCCCAGACCAACTCCTCTCTAAATACTCTTTTCACTCTGGTTGGAAGGTAGAAAGCTCATCTAAATATGCATGAGGCTTTTTCTCCCGGGATTCTGTTGCGCTCTTGTTGGATGTTGAGGAATTACGTTAATGAATGCGTGTCTGCACACACCGACTCAGAAACCATGCGCGTGCCCGCGCGCGTACACACACACACACACACACACACAGCTTTGTCAGATCCTCGTTCAGCACTCACCAAACAGTTCCCATGAAAAGGAAGATAGGAGACGGGGAGGAGGCGAGCTTTAAAATCTGTTGCCAGGGGAGAAGTAAAGGATACAGCTGATACAAAAGAAAGAACAAAGTTTTATCTTTGCTTTCTGGAGTTGCAAATGTAACTGCTGTTTCAAATCGGTCCCAATGTGAAATAAGACAAGGCCATTGCAAAACCAGAACTGGCTGGCCTGGCTCTTCCCAGTGGTGAGGAAAAAATTAAGGGCAGAGTTTCTATACTGGAAATAAGTTGTAAACTTGAAAACAAAGAACTCATCAACAGTTTCTTTAAGCAGGGCTTTATGCAAATTCCTTTACCAGAGACCGTGTGAGCCTGGATCCAGAAGGGGTCGTTATATTATATGGTCCCTTACAGTGTCTTTTTCCCTCTGTCTCTTCTGTGGCTTTTAGATGCTGTTTTCATTAGGCTAGCTAAATTCCACTTTAAGATTAATTCACCCTAAATGTGTTTGCATGAAATTATATCGAGTCATGGCTTAGAGTGTAAATCATCTTTAATTATAGGTAATCTTTATGATATTTTAACAGATAAGATATTAGCACACTGGAACTGAGGTGCAGACATATTAATGGCCTTAATATCACACTGCCAGAAACAGTCATCTTTCCAACCTTTAATCATCTCCTTTGCCTGTGCCTTCCTTCCCATTCTTGGCGAGCACAGAATGCCCAGCAGCGCATCAGGCCCTGGTCCGGAAGGGCCCCGGGGCTCAGTCACTAGCTTTCAAATTTGTGTATCATGACAGTAGGTTGAAAGCATATTTTTTCTGTGTGTGTGTGTTTTTAATATAACCCTTCAACTG